TTGGGGAAAAAGCAAAGAGGGTATCGTTTTTGAAGCCGAAAAGACACAAAAATTGCGAAGATTTCTTTTCACTCGGCGTTTCGTTTTTTGGTGGTTTTTTTAACGTTTAGGGTTTAGGGTCAAGGAAACTTCGTAAAAATTCGCGAAAGCCAAGGGGAATTTACTTTTGCATTTTCAAAAGCCACCTCGTGCCGAGCCCTGTCTGTGATTTGAATTCCAGCACATTGTGGTATTTTTGTGCGTATCGCGTGAAGATGTAAAAAATCTGTTTGACGTCGTGATTTTGATTACCAATTGTGATTTGTAGAGTCAAAGCTTCGAATACCGCTCTGTTCTTTTACGTAGCTTTTACAGAGCTCTCCTTCCATCGATCCTGTTCACTACAGATGTTCTCAAAAACATTCCGCTGATTAGCTCGTTTTGAAAGATCTACTAATCATTAGCACTTAGTCACTCATTGACTCCTGTACAAAATCTTATGGTGGCTTTTTTGCTTACGCTCACGTCATACAGTACCATCACTGCCGCCTTGAAATCCTACGATATAAGCGCAATATCGCGCCGAAAGTGCCGCATTGCGATAGCTCGCTTGAACGTTAATCAATCGGATTCTAGTTTGAATATTTGGAATCAGCGCCTTTTGAACCATCTGAAAGTGTACTTGAAAATTTCCTGATCTCGTTACCAAAGATCTTTTTTTGAAACCTCCGGCGAAATAAACGCATCGCCGCGTTGGTATCGCCGCACCGCCATAACTCTCTTCAGCTTGAATCTTACAGATTCTAATTTAGATACTTGGAATCGGCGTCCCCTAAGCTACCTGAATAAGCTTTTCAAAATTTTGAAATCTTGCTTTCAAGCTTTTTTGGCTCTATGCCAGCGGCGGTTTAAACGCAATGTCGCGCAGAAAGTGCCGACTAATGTAACTCGGTTCAAAGTTCTTTAATCAAAATTTCGATTGAATATTTGAAACCGGCATCTTTTCGTTCACTCATGAGTTCACTCAGACTTTGCTTTTTCTCTTGTCTTGGCTCTTTTTTGAATTATCAACGACGATACAAACGGCATGTCGCGTTGAAAAAGCCGGATTGGTGTAGCTTTCTTCTCGTTTTTCGTATTAAATTTCAAATGTGATATTTGGAAACAGTAAGCTCTAAGCTACTCGAGAATGTTTCAATAGTCTGCAGAATCCCAAATTCTGTTTTCCAGATTTTTTTTGGTCCCTCATAGTGCCCTAATTAACCAGCCTGGCTCTGGCTTGAGCCCGATGACCCCACAGTATCGATTTTTCTTCAAAATCTCACCAAGACATAAATCGAAAGTGAGATGGATACAAAGACCTTAACACCTTGATAGAATTTATTCCAATTTGGAATTTGGAATAATGTATGAGTTTTGCGAGTCTTTCAATTTTTGGAAAATTGGCTAACTTACTGCATACTTCAAGATTCTGTAAACTGGCTAAGTTATTAATCACTTCAAGATTCTGTGAAACCAGCAGATAAATTTCAATTGTTTTGCTCTTATCCGAGTGAATACCTTCCTCAGAATCAAAAATTGAACTTGCTAACTTCAGTTTGAAACATTTAAAATGTGCACAAACTTTGTCAAATTTCTTCAAATTTTGGGCAACATCTGAAAAGTAAACTGGTCTGAATTTTCCGGGAGAATGCAGGCACCCGACTGCTTCATTGGCCTTCTGTCGATTTGTAATTATGGATACAAACGGCTATGATCTGTGGGAGTAATTTCAAAACCCATGGCAAAATGAAAATTGATTTCGGGCAAGGCCGTAGTCCCAATCTTGGTACTTTTAACGGAGCTTTCCAATGCTCTTGGCAAATGCTGCAAAGATCGTATTAAGAGTTGAACTGCTGAAAAGTTAATTTTTTACATTCTCATAAAAGGTTCAAAAGCTCTCTAAAGCTTACGAGAATAGAATATGAGATTTCCAGACCTTCAACAATGAGGTTTTGAAGCACTCGGAGACTGTAAATTTCATTAATCTTTAACTCGCCGTACTGAGAAATCAGAGCAAATCAGAAATAAGAAAACACCGTAATTTTCGAAATCAATCCGGAATTTTTGTAACTCCGATTTGAGTTGGAGCGCGCAGAAAAGAACATTATTAGTCAGAATATCGAGATATACAAATCTATTTGATGAAATAATAGAATCTCTAGATCCGGTTTCCAGTCTGAATTTCAAGAGAAATATGTGTTGAACATTGTTTTTAGAATAACCCTGTTGAAAAGATACGCAAATTCGGAGTTTGACTATTCTGGATAAAATGCTCACAAGTTCTCTGAAAATCACATAGACAGAACTCTGAGCAAACGCAGTTTTACATGTTTAAAATCTTTGAAAGTATCAAAAAAGTAACAGTATGTTTGCGAACGCAAAAGTGCTATAGAAAAAAAAACGCTGGAAGATTAGTAATTTTAGACTTTTACTATATAAAAACCCATGAGGAACTATGGAAGTTGTGGAAAAGCTCTTTCTATCACTTTCCAACTCATTCTGACATGAAAACGGAGTCTTTGAAAGCATTGATTTTTGAACAGGAGTGCTGGCAATTTTTTGATTGTCTTGGACGAGAGCCTGCTGAGCAGTCAGAACTTGCAATTTTTAAGAAAAGAAAGAAGTTAACAAATTCAGATTTTATGACTTTTCTAGATGAATTGTTCATCAGTACTTCGAAAATCATAAAGAGAGAATTGGACCGAACACTACGGATTTGAAATTTTCCAAGATGTTAAGAGAGTAGCAGTATGTTCAAGAAAAATTCAAAAGTGCTATATGAAGAAAAGATGTAAGAGTCCGTTTCAGACTTCTACTATATGAAACCCATGAGACTGAAGTTGTTGAAAAGCTCTTTATACTCATTCCAATTCATTGTGACATGAAAACCACAATTTTTTTTTTAAATCATTAATTTTTGAACAGGAGTGCTAGCAATTCTTTTGATTTTCTGAGACGACAGTCTGCTTCTGAGCAGTTAGAACGATAAAATGGAAAAGGTTGTAAGATTCTCTTGAAGATATGTCATGGTTTGAGACAACGTTTTTGACAGCTAGAAAATCACTTTCTTCGGTCCATCGCGTCGCTGGGTGCGAAAATTGCGTCCTAATTCTCGTAAGCGTTGCTCAAGGGAGAACGATGCTGGCCTCGTGATTATACGCTGCCTGGAGCATTTCAGTTACTCCGATATTTTCAGATGGAAATTATCTTAGTTTTGTAATCAACAACTCTTTAAGGTCATTTTCCTTATTTTTGGGATGTTTTTTAAGCTCTATGAAGATTCTGTGATATTCTGAGGAAGTGAGTGAATTCAGCCTCTTGCTCTGGTATCCCCGATATCACACTTTAGTTTCAGAAGTTATTTAAGTGTATCAGGCTGCCCCTTAGAATCTTTGTCCAGACTTCATGTACAACTTTTTCACATAGATTTAGAATTTTCCATAGTTTCTGAAAAGTCAGAAATTCTATTTACCCTATTCCTTGAAGACCCTTCAAAGAAAGTTTTTGAAATCAGAGGGATTCCTCATTTGGCAGAAAATTTGTTTCTTTGGTAGCCTAGTTTTTAATGCGATCTTCGCAAAACTTGCAATTTCGGAAAATCTAGTAAATCTCTAGTCACAGATCATAGTGCTAGAATCCATAATTACAAATCGATAGAAGGCCTGAAGAGCAGTCAGGTGGCTACACACTTCCTGAAAAGTTATACAGCTTACTTCTCACCATCAAATGTTGCCGGGAACTTGTAATTTGACAAAGTTTGTGCAAATTTTCCATTTTTCAAACTGAAGTTAGCGAAGTCAATCTATGATTTACTGAGCAAAGTGGTCAGTATTCGGAGAGCAAACTGATTGAATTATATCTGACATCTACAGGTTCCTGAAGTATCCAATAACTTAGACAATTTTCCAAAATTCGCGGAACTTGAAAATTTGGAAATTTTTTCAAGTACATTTTCAAATAGTTCAGAAATGATTTCATTCCAAATTGGAATAAATTCTATCAAGGTGTTAAGGTCTTTGTATCCATCTCACTTTCGATTTATGTCTTGGTGAGATTTTGAAGAAAAATCGATACTGTGGGGTCATCGGGCTCAAGCCAGAGCCAGGCTGGTTAATTAGGGCACTATGAGGGACCAAAAAAATCTGGAAAACAGAATTTGGGATCTTGCAGACTATTGAAACATTCTCGAGTAGCTTAGAGCTTACTGTTTCCAAATATCACATTTAAAATTTGATACGAAAAACGAGAAGAAAGCTACACCAATCCGGCTTTTTCAACGCGACATGCCGTTTGTATCGTCGTTGATAATTCAAAAAAGAGCCAAGACAAGAGAAAAAGCAAAGTCTGAGTGAACTCATGAGTGAACGAAAAGATGCCGGTTTCAAATATTCAATCGAAATTTTGATTAAAGAACTTTGAACCGAGTTACATTAGTCGGCACTTTCTGCGCGACACTGCGTTTAAACCGCCGCTGGCATAGAGCCAAAAAAGCTTGAAAGCAAGATTTCAAAATTTTTAAAAGCTTATTCAGGTAGTTTAGGGGACGCCGATTCCAAGTATCTAAATTAGAATCTGTAAGATTCAAGCTGAAGAGAGTTATGGCGGTGCGGCGATACCAACGCGGCGATGCGTTTATTTCGCTGGAGGTCTCAAAAAAAGATCTTTGGTAACGAGATCAGGAAATTTTCAAGTACACTTTCAGATGGTTCAAAAGGCGCTGATTCCAAATATTCAAACTAGAATCCGATTGATTAACGTTCAAGCGGGCTATCGCAATGCGGCACTTTCGGCGCGATATTGCGCTTATATCGTAGGATTTCAAGGCGGCAGTGTTGGTACTGTAGCTATTGTTAGTCTTTCATTCTGCTACCGCTTTTTAACACCATGTTCCCTATCAGTTTGAAAATATAAAATTCTCTATTCCATATGTTACCGTGTATAATTTCCACAGCAGTGTTGATTATTTGAGGTAATTTCAGATGTTGGTGGTGTGTGGTCGCATGTACTGGATTCAAAACTGACGCGGAACCATCAAAACGAGGCCCCACAGTGGACATCTGGAAAGATGCGAGCTGTGAGTTCGAAACTTTTTAGTCTCTGTAGATGTTACTTTTTGCCATTTGTTTGGTTTTCCTCAACATTATCACGTTACAAAATAATCGCAGTCGGAATGGTTGGTTTACATTTAGCAGTAAATCGCTTTAGATGAGATCAATAGCCACGATTTGCTACCGTTTTTAACAATTTTGCAAATTATTGTCTTTGGTGCTTTTACGGTGTACATGTTCCTATATTTCATATTTTTGACTCTGCTATTCTGCAGGCTTGCAATCTTGACTTGCAATTAATCTTCAACTATTTGATGAGCGTCGTTTACTGTTTAGTACATTCGTGTTACTAGACTAACTAGCCCCATGAGGATGTTTCGAAACTGAAATTATGCAGTTTCCAAGAAGAATATGTTTAATGCGAAAAAATCAGAATTTAGAGTTGCTATGATTAAACAGTGTTCGTTCTTACCCCAATCTTCTTCTCGTCTATTTTGCACCTTCGCTTCAGTATCAACAAGTGCTCCGAATTCTGCACCTCTTTTCGAGAAAATTTGATTGCTTAGGAGGACAACTTGTGCAAAATACTGCTACCGAAATGCATGCATTCTTGCCAAAAATGTTATCTGTTTTATTCATTTATTTATTCATTTGCACCTGAAAGTGCGCTTATAGCATTAATTCAGAGCAGTTAGTAATAAAATGCAATGCCACAACAGGATTAGTGTCAATAATTTTCTCATACAACGTCCTCAACTCCCATAAAAGACATCAATCTTCTTCAAAGCATTCTTCAGCAGATCAGCTATCTATGTACTAAAAAAAATCAGCTATCTATGTACTGTAAAAAAACGTGCGTCTCAGGAATAACTGAGACGCACGTTTTTTTCTCAATTGGTCTTATATTGCAGTTGGAAATCCAATCAAGCTGAAATTACTTGAAAAAATCTAAATGCCATCACAACTTTGAGCTTCATTTTTTGCTCCCCATTCACTTATATGGATTTCAAATAGAAGAATGTTTTTGCTCGGCCACATAGCGGTGCCACGACATGTCTTCTGATTCGATAGTTTCGTGAAGCGAATTGGGTTTAGCCCTAGTGAAAAAAGTTAATTTGGCTGGGATTTATAGAATTGACTATCGAATGCTGGATTTATCTTTCCTGCTTTGTCCTTGCATCTCGACTAACGCTGAGATGGCTATATTTATCCTTTTGTTTCGGGCAACTCAGCATTTGGCATTCCTATCAAATCAAACCTTTATAAATAGCTTTGTTAAAGGCAGCGTCCACCCAGAATTTGGCCTCCCATGTTTTCGTCATTATGGGGGCTTTCTGTGGCCCTAATCACAGTTCCGAACTTTAAACTCTCTGAAATTCACAAAAATCCCGATTCTTGGGGACCCACTCTTGAGGGCGCGGACGAGTTTCGAATTGCTCTTCCCCGTCGGCAGGCCAGCGGGAAGGAGCTGCAACTGCATGGGTGCAGTTGCACTGCAGTGTGCAGTGTGCAGCTTCTGCTCACTATCTTGTCAATACGTGTCGAGAGGCACGTATTGACAAGGTAGTGAGCAGTCCCTGGCTGGGCGGAGTCTGATATCAGACTCCGCCCAGCCAGGGACTTTCAGGCCCCTTATCTCCATTCAGAGACAACGTTAGAAGACCGGACCAATGCAGATGCCCCTTTTTTGGGGCCTACATTCAGGATAGACACTAATCGGAGGGGGTTAGGTTTAGCCTGGACACTGCCTTTAACATATACTATGGATGTGAGAAAGCGCTAAATCATGTTTTCATCTGTATTTGAAAAGTTTTTCTATGTAAATATGGGATTATGATGTAAGAAATGTTGCTTGTATACGTGCGCTTCTACTATAGTGTCCTCAGATTGAGTTAATTTTCTTGTGATCGTCTATTTTCTCCATAATTTCTCTTTATACGCTTGGTCAAGTTCACACTATCTTGCAGAGGCATGAATAGCGAGCTATTAGGTTGATAAGAAAGTTCTCCGACATTTATGCTAAAATGGCTATTTCTCATGTTGTAATGCATATACGAACGCGAAACTTTGTAGTGGTACTTTCATGTGGACGTGGCTTATATCTGCGCAGGTGGGAGCTGCTTAGAGCCAACAGAGGCGGAGTATGCCACTTTTCGATCATCTCATTTTTCCTGCCAGTAGCTCGAATTCCATACAGACTTTGCACATATGTATATGAGTTCAGTCTAATATGTGCTGGAGTATTTGTGAGTGTCGCAGCGTTTACGGAAGATGGAGATCTGAGCTTTGCCAAGATCCTATGAGTTCGCACTTTCGCTCCTATTTCCACATGATTTAAAGGGTATGCTCGTGATTAGTATGGTCTTGTAGGGATGCGGTGCAGGAGGAACCAAAGGCCTGCCGCTTGTAGCCGTAGGAGATAGTTAGGAGGGCGAGCGCTGTGGAGAAGATTTTGGCAAGGATCCAGGAAAACTTGGCCAGGACATCCATTAAAAACAAACCCTTATAACTCTCCTTGGAATCAAGTTTCAAGGATACGAAGGACAGATTTGGAATCAGTATTGAAATGCGCATTTCTTCAATAGTACGCTTACCGAATAGTTGAACAACTCTGTCTCGCAACGATTTTTACTAAAAACTGTGCCTTCAGAATTCACCAGAATTCACCATTCTAAGCTAAATTTCAAGCTAATTGTTGGGTGAAAAGTTCAATTGAATTTTGGTGAAATTTTTGGATACGAAGTTGAAAGTATGAAATGGTAATAAGGAATTAATGTTAACGGGTGTATGCCAAGATGAACGATAGCTGGCAATAAGCATACTGTACTCCAACGGTTGTCAATATGTCTCACATTAAGTCTTAATTTTTGAAGCTGTATGTCCTAAACTGGATTGAAAATGGTGTCGAACAGTAAGAATTAGGGCATATAGAGCTTCTAGTGTTCTTTTTTTCCAATTTCCTGGATATCATCATAGTGGAAATATGGAATTTGAAAAAGATTTGACCTACGCGGCGCATATGGCTGGCACAACCTATCGTTCATGTTGGCTGCCCCCCAATGTTAACTAAGTTGCATGTGATGAACTTTTGCTACTGTGGACGACGTAAAGGATTACCGACATAGTTTCAATGGCAAATCCTATGAAGTCTCTAATGTCAAAATTCAAAATTAGAATGGGTTTGAAGTTATGAGACAAAGTGCATATTGCATTTTGACACAAACCTCCAGATGTGTTCTTATGACATTTTGATTGAATCAAAAGGTAAAATAATTCTTTATCTCGAAGAAGAAAGAATGAATTTTGAATGAAAACCCCGGGCTTCAACAACTTCAAACTTCAAAATTCAAAACAAAAAGTTCCTATAAAGTAGTTGACTCTTGTTACCACTACAATTCCAAATTTCCATTTACTTTAGGCCCAGTGAATCCGCCTTCCAATTTGCATTACAAACCTGTTTTTTAAATTTTTCAAAGTCATCTCCAGGCGAAGTTATGAAGATTTCTTCCAAAGGATGTCCTTGCCGAGTTTTCTTGGATCCCTGCCAAAATATTCTCCACAACGCTCGCGCTCCTAATTATCTCCTGCGGATACAGGCGGCAGCCCTTTGGTTCCTCCTGCACCACCCCCGTCTTGTAGTGTTTGCCTTCCTCGTTGAAAGATGCACTGCGTGCCCTATTCCGTGCTCACACCAAAGCAAAATCTTTGTCTGAAGGCAATGTCCGAGAACTTCCTTAGCAACCTAATATAATAGACAAATTATCTTTTTTAGAATCAGTGAAATGAGCTGACCAAAAGATAAAATTTGCAAGAGTCGCAGAATTATATAATAATCTAGTCTATCCATTATAAATGTGTAAATAAACTATAATACTAGGTTGTTGCACAATTTTTGCACCAAAAAATCCAAATTAATCGCTTCAAAAGTTCAAAGGAAAATCAACCTATGCTCCCTGTTCTATGTATCGAAGATGATATTTTATAGTGCTTTCAGAAAATCAATTTGAAACAAAATCAGTAAGTGGGATAAATCAAAATTCATAATTACTCGTAGAGACATCCGGTCACTGCCAATTCCTCTTAGTCAGAAAGAGTACATCATAAAACCAAAACTAAATCGGATTTGTATCTCAGTAGACGTTTTAGCAATTTTGGCGTCCAAAATTCGCAAAACCACTTTTGAATAATTCTCTTAATCACCTTATATCGTTGCCATATGCCATCAAGAAACTTTTAACCAAGTACATGGGAAGAGTGCAAGATTTTCCTCCTTCTGATGTGTATCAAAACAAAGATTCTACTTGGCCTGGAGCAAATAATGGAATTTTATAAATTTCGGTGCAAAAATTATGCATCAAACTAATGTATAGCGATATCGATACCGATTTTCTTGTAGTTGTTGCCATAGTCTTCCAGATCGCTTGGCAGAGTTCTGAAGTACGAAAATTTGTTATGAGGCTACACCCTTCGCAACTCATATAATCGAGCTCGCTTATCCCCTCGGCTCATTCGTTCTTCATTTGTTTATACGCATATATCATTGGGCCCCACTTTGAGCGCAGACACTTTCACATTGCTCCTCATATCCTTCCATTAATCCGTGCGACTCAAATCAAACTGGAAGTTCCCAAAGGCCAGTTGGAAAAAGGAAAAATGCTCACGATTTTCCTGCCGCCATTGTGACGAAAGCATCAGCCGCTTTTGACAAAGCAAGACCGCGTTTGATTAGCTATTTCTTGCACGAATGCATCTGTTTGTAGTCTCAAAGAATTCTTTTGCATTTGCAAAGAAAAATCAGGATGCAATGAATCTGACAGGTTATTCATGAGCTGGAGATGAGAACCCGCACGTTACCTGCTGATCTGACAGCTATTTCTCTGAGAATAATTGGCTGTTTGCTTGAATAATGACCCGCGGCACTGATGTCATTAGTCCTTTTTTTCTATCGCTCAGAGCATTTGCTTAGATAACAGTCAGTCTTTTATCTTGAATGTAAAGAATACGCAGGAATTTTATGATGTGGTTT